ACGTAACTAGCTTCATCTCAAAATTGAATGAAAATACACTTATCGTACCTAATCATAAACTTACTATTAATACCCTAGTCAAACGGTTCATTGAAATACGGAGTGCATGTTGGTTTGTAGTAAATGCATAAAAGTACTATATTTGCTTATTAATCAGATATAGCAACACACAAGTTAATATTAAAAACATAATAATTATAAGACAAAAACATACAAAATATGGAGACAGAGAACATTAAAGTTCAAATCTGATCATACACTCGAAAATGGTTCCAAAACTGATTATTCAAATTACTGACTTACTTGTATATTGCATACTTGAGTTATATTATGTTTCTATTTCACACAATTCTTAATGTAAAGAACTGACCCAACAAACAGAGTGAAATCACTCAGTTTCAATGCAAAATAAGTATGGAATCCCAACAGTAATTAGTGAAATTATTTGCAAGATTGATAGTATATTTTTTGTTACTTTTTGTGACTCAAACTAACAAGTCAAGGAGGCACAGGTAATTTGATTCATAAATAGTTAAGAAAAATGTGTTTCCAACAATGAATATGACCCATATGGGCCCATCGATAATTATAGGGTTAAATTAGGCGGATAACTGTTATTTGTATCACGAGAAAAGTTTGAAAATATATTAATGAGATTTTTTTATTATTATTTAGGAACAGCCTTACATAATGATAACTATATTAAAGCTTCTTAAAATAAGTATAACAACACGTATATGTATATACAATCATAATTCCAACATGATATCTTGGGCAACATTAATATTAATCATCTACAATCTCAGGAACACACACACTACACTATGTAAAGTTTGTCCTGGAAGAAGCAGTTTAAACGCATAGTTGTTTGTCTGTTAGTTACCAGTAAATTCTACATTTTTTTTATCAGAGGTTGATATTATTTAGTGTATAATATTAATATGTTGATCGTTTTTAGATATGACAAATTTTTATAGTTCATGTATGAATTCACCTTTAACAATGTGAATCTAATTCAACTTATTAACTTAAAGACGATTGTTTATTGTACTACTTAGTTGAATTATCAAACTTTTATATCACATATAAAATAGAGTTCAAAGTTTCAACAAAACTCGCAATTTGGGTCTTACTTCCGCTGGTATCTAAACAAAACAAAAACAGTGCACATTACATAATGACCCATCTTATGCTTTGTGCCTCAGTGTTGGACGTTCGTTTTGTGGCTGCGTCTTTAATTATATTTTTTCTGTATCCATAAAATTAAAGCTCATTGAATTTCATCTAAGGTTTGGATTTGTTCGGTATAAACAACGCTATTCTTTTTTTTTTTTTTTGATGTGATCTGTTTCGAAGAGTTTGTAACTTATTCATATATAAATACGTCTGTAAAAGACAAAACATGTATTGGATTGGATTCCCTTTAATCTTGACATTTTCATCTCTCTTTAATTCTATAAGCATAATATTTAATTTATAGGTTTGCATTGGGTTTCATTTCAATTAAAGTAGGCAAAATTAATCGCAAAAATAAAACGTAAACTTTATAGACATCTCAAGAAACCTGGTCCTAAAGCTCTAGAGAGGTAAAAAATGAGGAACAAGTAGTTGTTAATTTAAATATTAATATAATAACCATTTCTGAATCAATTTTTATCTGTAAGCAAGTTATTTACTTTATTTCTAAAGTGTCCCTTTACCACTCTTCTCGCTTTCCTTGTATGCGAGGCTAAGACAATGTTGACCGGAAGAATCACTAACTGTGAGGCTAAGACAATGTTGACCAGAAGAATCACTAACTGTGAGGCTAAGACAATGTTGACCAGAAGAATCACTAACTGTATAAGACAGTAGCCTGCATCACATGTTCAATTAGACTAAAGCGAGTAGCACAACATCATGCGATTAAAATAACTTTTATTTCGTGTAGCTTAGTTTAAAAGCTTATATACCAAAACAAATACGAAAGAAATTATTTCACAACTTCTACCTTAATGCTCGTACCTGTAATATTTTCGAAGATGAGTATGTAGGTAGTTACATTAATATTTTGTTTTTAAAATACACGATTGAAAATTTTATATATATATATATATATAATAGTGACAAATATTTGGAGTGTATTTGTAAGGATCTTATAATAAAATGAACAAATACAGCGAATGGATTATATGTAAGTTTATAATCTATTGAAAGAAACAATCTTCAGAACCTTTTATTATAAAGTAATAATGTTCAGACTATCTATACGTCTTTTAAATCTGAGCTCACACTCTTCAAGTGATACCTCCTCGTATATTTGCTATTTAACCCTCAAATTTATTTGTTGCTAAACACAAAGCTACACAAGGTGTTATCTGTGCTGTGTCCACCACGGGTATCGAAACCCAATTTTTAGTGTTATAAGCCTTCAGACTTACCGTTGAGTCACAAGGAGCTTGCTTTTATACTGTGGGTCCTTTTATTAGATCATATTTAGTAAATTTATGTTGATGCCTTTTACAACATCCTCTGTAAAGAACTGATCAGACAAAAATAGTGAAATAATTCATTTCATGCGTAAAATTCATAGAAAACTTTAGAAGTAATTAGCGGAGTTAAATGCAATATTTATCATATTTTATATGATTTTTTTTCCAACCCATATGTTATGATGGACGTTTTAATCAATAATGTGATAAACCTATAAGCTATTTTCTACATAAGTAGTTCGGAAAGACGTGTTTGTATAACGCCTGTGCAGCCGTATGGATCTCACTGGTAATTCAAAAGTAAACATTATGAAATACAGCATATTTTACATTCATTGTGGTTTCTTATAGAAGATTAGTCTACTTTTTTCATGCTAACTTTTAAAGAATGATATTAACTCACCCGTTTATTGAATTTTTCGTACTCTTGAAGCATATTATATATATATATATATATATATATACTTTAGGTTACAACTTATGCTTCGTATTGACACAGATATCTTATTGTGTTTTATATTGCAATATCAGTACAGGGAAATCGAAAATAAAAACAACACCTAACTTAATATGATTCCGAAACTAAAGAGGAAAAATACCAACAGTTAAAGAACAAATAGGTGATATTTCTAATAAACATTTTGGGGCTTGTAATGTATATTATTTAAACTATTGGTGCATTTAATAACCGTAACGAAAGTACATTTTTAGAGTTACAATTTAAATACGGTTAACTCATGACATTTAATATTTCGAAAGCACGTGAAGCCATCGAATTGTTAATATGCACAAAACTTTCTCGTTACTTAATGTAATAGAACATTGTCGTAAAAATAAGCAACCGACTGTAGTAACATGCAAAAACGGGAAGCTTTAGGAATCAAATTTTCACGACAGAGACAATATTTATCTCGTACAGGTACAGAATTATTGTATACAGAATCCTTACATTGTTTGTACGCTGACGTCAGAACATAGGGTTCCTTTGTGCAAACAACACCGATACACTGGCAAAAGGGATTACGAAACAAGTTCCTAAATTACCGAACGATCGAAGAAAGCTCAGGATGGCAGCAAAGAAGCATCCAGTCCTTACACATTTTTTTATTAAGCAGTGACTTAACAACACAAGGAAAGGGTTATAGTAAGCTCCAGTAGAGATATTTCAAATTAACGTTTTAAAGATATGTGCATTAGATAAGATATATTACTAGTGGTCCACAAACATAGTTTAAAAAAAACTATAATAGTTTTAAATCAATATAACAAATAACATATTTATTCATCAAGAAAAATATGATTAAATATAACATCAGTCAACATCAGCATAAAGTAGTATTTTTAATAGCACGTGTATATGCATACATTCATTACCAACATTGTTGTACTACATTCAATAGAAATACTGTTGTACAACTACATTCATTACAAATATTATTGTACAGCTACATTTATTATAAATATTGTTGTGTAAATCCAAACAGAAACCTTTATAAGAACGTCATATGATTATAAACAGAGAGAATAAATAAGACAGAGAAGAAACAGAGTAAGGAAAAAAAAGAAGACAAAAGCAATCAAGAAGAGAAAATATACAGAAAAATAAGAAGAATAAAGTAAAACAAAATGAGGAAGAACATAACGGAAAACAAGAAGAAAGTTAAGAAAGAAAAGAAGAAATTAAAGTATAAACAAAGAGAAAAATGTTTGGAATGGCAAGAATTAAAAAAGTAATAGAAAAGAAGCAGTAGAAAATAAAGAAAACACAATAAAAATATAAGAAAAGAAAGTAGAAAAGTTATGAACAATATCAGAGAACAATAAAATATATTGTAACTTCAGAAAACAACCTGTATGATTTTTCAATCATATGAAGCATATGAAGCATATATGTATATATATATTGTATATATATATACAATTCCACGCTCTTGTGGATGCTAGGGTGTGACTAACAATGTATGACAGGAGTTAAAATCCAGTAACTGGATATTTGAAAGATCTTTATTTTTCTAGTGAACAAATCCATAAAACACGCATCTTACATCTGATCCAGCAAACTCGGAGAAAGTTTGAATATATATATAGTTATTAAACTGTTTTTTATAGATTAATAGCTGGACAATTTGTAGAGATAAGTATGGAACATAAATGTGTATGCAGAGGTTCTGGATAATTTAATATGTTTCAGCTAAGAAATATCAAACTGTCATTATATATATGTAAAACTTTAAATACTTCGTTCTTTTATGTCAAACTTGTGGAATCAATAAGTGCACTTGGAACTCGTGATTAACTTTTTATCGGTTATGCAGCGCCATCTGTAAAATTTAACTTCGTGAAAGTAGCACAGATCGATGGTTCTGCTCTATTTATAAGCGGTGTGTGTGGATTCATCAAACAAGCGTTTGTAGGATAGAAGTAAATGGCAGTTACGAATAGAGACCGTGACATCAGTGAGAAAACGTGTCTTACCCTTTCTTATTTATTCAATGTTTCTTGTTTTTAGTCTTTGGGTTGTTTTTACCCCTCTTGTGAATTTGATTGACCAGTTGACTTCCTATTTATTTCGAGATTAATGACAAAGTTTTGGTACTATGCCTTCAGTCTCTGCTTACCATGGTCATTCATAGAACTTGCATATGTTCGTCAGGGTCCTACTCCAAAAGAAAAACCTTACGGTAGGTGTGATTAATTTCATAATTATTGTTGGTTTCTACTGAGTTACGATTTGGCAGCAAGATGAATCCAGTTCTACCTCAATGTTGAATTGCAGTGCTGAGTTAAAAGCTATTAAAATTCGGAAACATTGTGACTATATATATGTATTTTTTGTTTAAACTTTGGATGAAATTAAACACTTTGGTTTTACACATTCATCATGTAAAAATGAAGAATACATATATTTTATGAAACATTAGGGGCGTAATCCAGAGTAAAGCTTCTTTACTCATCTTCACAATTTGGTTGTGATTTTAATAGTTTTCATTTCTTTTTGTTATCAATAGAGTTTTCAAATTTATTTCACTTTCTTATTTGTCCTCCTCCACACCACCCAAAAGTCAAGTTAGTTGTCAGCGTGGTCAGAACGTATTTTAACATTTTCTTTAACAACCATGTTTAAAGGAAGATTGATAGAGCATTGTCGTGAGTAAGAAGCCTTGGCACGAAAAGTAGATTCTTTAATGGTGAATCAATCAGAGCGGAAAGATACTGGATCACCTGGGACACATCAACTGCATCATTCATTTTCAGAACACTGTCAAGGTGCTTGTGTCTACTCGAAATAGCTTGAAATATTATATCCCCATCTCTATCTTCGCGTGACAATGTGGGGGAAATAGTAAAGTGTAACATTCTTAAATTCATGTTTTTCTTTAAAAAGAGCGAAACGAGTCTCCACACAATGTCCAAAAGTGAAATTCTGTCAACAGATAAAGTTTCATGTTTTGTTTATCTGTTTATACTATCACATTATTTACATTAAAAGAATATAAAGAAAGTATTATTTTCAATTCACTAGCATTCAAAAAGTAAAATAACATGCAATGTTTCTCCATTTCTTATGATAAAAATTACAAACGCATTCCATGATGAAAACAGCCGGTGTACGTAGTTTTATGAAACTTGTGAATACAGTTAGTAAATACAATCTTAATATGCTTGTAATATGTAGTATTGATAGTGAAGATATATAATATTACTAAACAATAGCCCCCCCTCCCCCATTGGCTCATCGATAAGTCTGAGGGCTTATAACACTCAAAATCGGGTTTCGACACCCGTGGTGGGCACAGCATAGATAGACCATTGTGTACTTTGTGCTTAACGAACAAAAAACAAAAACAAATATAAACAGTAAAATAATATCACACTACTAACTTCCTTTATTTAGATGTTTATTTACTAAACAGAAATAATAATAACCGTAAAAAGAAAATACTTAACTTTATATCTTCGAGTGTCTTAATAAAGAATTTAAGGTTTTTTTTAATTTCTAAGACTTGAAGTAAAGAGAGACTTGACAAAATAAATTTATAAACTATTTGTTGGTGTTGCTTGAAACTAGGTTTCCATAGAACTTTCAATACAATAAATCACTTGCGTCTTCTTTTGTTTCTTTGTGTTGTTTTTTTCGTAGACAATTATGATAGCAGTTGATTTAAGTAGTGTAACTCCTTGACTTATTTTAATTCAACTCCTACTTTCATGATTGTGTTTAAAGATTTTCTAAGTACGTCTAATTACAGATCGACCTTCACTATGAAACAATTGTTCAGACAGTGCAGGTTAAAAAACAGCAAAACTGATGCTAGAAAAAAATCGTGCGATAAATAGTTCAATAGATATGATTGGTTAAAAAAAGGAAATTCGTTGGGTATAAAAACTAGACACATAAAGGTGAAAATAAGTAATGCCACATTCACGTTGGTTTACAATGAAAAGTTTTATATATATGTTTTTTTTTTCCTTTTTCTTGCGTTTATCATGCGTGAGGTCAGATAGTGTCTAATAACATGTTCATTATTTGTCGGTAAAAATTGAGTTTGTCTTTACCCAAGTACAATTTATAAATAAACTGGGATGACATCTATCTCATTAAATAATAATAACAATCACTGACGCACTAAATTAAATTAAAAGGGAACAAAAAAGGTAATATCTAATATTTTTTTGCTCAAATCGTAAATCCAAATAAAGGAACAACACCATCCATAACTCACAACTTTGTTTTATTACTTTATCTTTTTCTATAAGCAGCAGTTGAAACCTGAGAAAAGAGTGGAAACGAAATAATATGATAATATCATACGCTATAACGTAATTTGTCTCGCAATATAATTCAACTCACGTTCACTGTCTGAAAGGATCGGCCCGTCTGAAATATGAGTTTGGTTTCTTCGTCCACTGCTTAAGCTCATATTATTAACCAATTTTTACCTAAACGCTTCCCATATAAAGTTAAACGTAAAAGAATATCTCTTAATAGACTGCGTGAAAAAAATACATTGTTATAAATGTTTTGATCCAACTAAACTCAGTTTTGTAAAGGACACACCCACACCGTTCTGCAGCTACATGACGACTTTAAAAAAAAATTGTTTGAGCTTTCAATATTAAGTCTATATTGGAGCTGTTTCTTCCTCAGTAAGCTTGTATGAAACTGGTTAGGCTAACAATAACCTAAAGTTCAAACTACTTAAAGTGGGTATTATATATTATTTCTGCTATTTGGCGCCATTCTATAGATTGGAAAGTTCAAGGTATGTGCTACGATATCGGTAAACACACTCCGCACTTTCAGCTTTGAGGGCGTTATGAGAGTGGCAGTCATCCAATTATTAAATTCAAAACGGGACAACTTTCTTGTAGCGAAAGGTGATGCTGACTGACTGCCTTCTCTCTGCTCTACAGTTTAAAATTAGGAATGACTATGACTAACCTTTATAGACAGTTTAACTCGTGTGGCCATGGTTTCGTTAGCTTCGAAAATACCATTATTCATATCTTATCGTATCTTTTAGCATTTATTAACTAGTCACATGCAGAAATAATTACAGAGTTTAAAATTATGCACCAAGCAATGCAAAATAGGCTTAAGAAAACAATTAATTATGGGGAATTGCTAGTGCGATTAATTTATCATTGGCTTATTGTTTTAGGAAGCCAGGTTCAATCTCTAATGAAAAAACATCCACAGTAAAAGTGCCAATGTATAAATACTGTCAGGAACTTAGTATTTTTAATAGTATATATATTAAAGTAAGTATATGGGTGTGTTGGGCTAAAGATTCTTCTACAGCAGGTGTCTGTGACTTGTTGGCGATAAATCTGACAATAAACGAACAGCACGCACTCACTTGTTTTTAAAATTACATATATCTATATATTTGAAACAAGTTAAACGTATGTACAAAATTACTTACACTATGTAGATCATAGTTGTATCTTAAACACTATACAGTTCTATTCTTCTTGTCAAAAGTCCACTTAGGCGAATTCAATTCCTTTAAAATTCAGTTGATAAGCCTATCTATTTTTCTCTCTATTTCTATCGCAATAGCATCTGCGTATAGTTGAATTACCGCGGCTGTATCCTGTACTTCCAATAATCGTCTGCTTTCGTATTTGCAATAGTCGTCTGTCTTTTGTCAAAGCCACTGAGATGGGTTCCATTACTTTAGAACACCCTTTGACGTGACAACTTATTCTCTTTATCTCTTTCAAAATTGTTAATCTCACTTTAATATATCAACCATTAAGCCTTTAATTCCCACAACGGTTAACTTTATGTTTAACTTTTCTCTGACCGATCTTCTCTTTCGCGTGACTTTACTTTTTCGCTCGTCTGGTCGCCGTCATTTATACGTCTATCACTTAGGCCTTCTAGAAATCTCTATAATCTCGACATCAATGGATTGCAAACACAAAATTCGATAGCCTCGAAATTAATGAATTACAAACACAAAATAAATAAATTAATAATACTACTAAACAATCTTTTTTATCTGACATATACAAATGTGTATTGGAATACACCCTATGTTTTTAGAACTTGGATGAAAAATTGTTTTCGTTCTTCAATTATATCAATTATTTGCCTCGATATTTTAGTTTTAATACACTGTTCGTAGAGATGTGTGTTCAATATGAGGGTTGGAATGCCAGTTTAAAAATTTAAGTTTTTACTTACAATTTCGATTGGTATATTTCAAGTAATTTTGTTTTAATTATTTTCCCTTCATTTATTGTTTCATTGGGAGCAAAGAACTTCCCAGAGCTGATTTATATGTGGGACGATTGTTTGTTTATGGCAAAGCTATTAAGGCTATCTGCCGCCGTCCATAATTTTGAACTGCCAACCATATGCAATGTAACGGTCACATCATAACTCCATAGCTGAAACAACTAGAATATTCAGCAACGGATTTGTGTCCCGGAACTATACATTGCGAGTGAAGGGCCCTAACCACCACTCTATGCTAGGACACTTGTGGGACATTATGTGAGAAATTTTATCTTTATATCATTTGTGAGACTTCAGAATACTGTTTAAATCTGATAGAAGGGTGTATCCCTACTGCTGTTATCTTTCTCATTTTAATATCCCCACATTCTAGTTTTTATCCTACTTTCACTAGTGTCTCGTTCCTATACGACACTTTTTGTTTTAAACGTAGCTGTTTGGAATTTTTTCAAAACTTCAATCAAGATAAGGTGCTGCTACCTTTCTTAATCTTACATACTTGCCGTATTATTGATATGAATACATTACGTATTTAACCTAAACTACAAATATACCACCAGCAATCGTCTGAAGGTATGATATATATTTGATTAATATGTATATGAAGAATAGAAACCTGTTGCCAAAATTACAAGTATAATACCATATGTCCCTTCTTGGAATGTTTTAATACGAACACAGATATTCTGTTTCTGTCATTATATTATATATATTAAAATAAGATACGTTTTAATGGCTTTAGATCAGAATATCACTTAGTAAGTTGCAGGAAAAGTTTGTTATTGTAGTTTTGGGTATTACAAAACTTTTATACCATTCGAAAAGGGGAAATCGTTTAGGACATCATGCTGAATAAAGTATATCTATAACTTAAATGATAAATATCTGGTAATCACAATAAAATTTAGTTAACTTAAAAATGTTCAATTACAG